GTGTGTGTGTGTGTGTGTGTGTGTGTGTGTGTGTGTGTGTGTGTGTGTGTGTGTGTGTGGCTCTCTGCAGCGGAGCTCCGTCCTCCGGAGAGCAAAACAACCGACTGGCCGCCTTCTAGCATCCAGACCCCAATCTCTGCTTGATTGACATCTCCTTTAAACCAATCAAATCAAGAAGCCAGTATTATGGTTTCCTATTGGTCCACAGCTTCAGCGGACTCCGGTCAGCCAATCGGAGGGAGGATGTTCTGGCAGACTCCGTGGCGCCCCGCAGCGGGAGCATGTGGAAGACATCGTACAGCGGAATCTTTCCCAGCAAATTGACTCGTATTAATGAAAAACGCACGGCTCAGTCCAAGTCTTTATTTCTTCCCCTTTCAGCACAGTTACTGTTTTATTTCTGATTGAATGAGCAGACTTTTCCAAGCCAGACTTTGTCCCTTTTGCCGGCAGGAAACTGTCAAGAAACTGTGCTCCAGTTAACCGTAGTTCTGCTCTTTTTTCATGAGCAATAAATCGGGTATTGACAGTATTATGGGACTGTTGTTGCTCGTTGCCACTCATGTGAGTCCCAATTATTCCCATTTTATCCTCATTTTCAGCATCTGAGCTTGACGACGCTGCTGATTCGCTCCAAAACATGTCATGACATATTAGACCACCAGAGGGCGCTGCTGTCTAAGTTTTTGCCTAATTCTTTTTTATAATAACTTTATAGTTTTTCTCTTCTCTTCACAGAAACTTGTATTCATTATTTAAAATTTTAAAATGTTCTCCTGCATTTGTTGATTTATCTTAATATGTATTTACAGATGAATTGAAGCACTTTATTCCAAACTGCATAACATATTTTCCCAAAATCTAAATCCTCATGCTCTCATTTCCCTTTCTTTCACCATCTCCTAACAGTCCAAAGACTGAGAGGCCAGCAAAAGGGGTGAGGCATTGACAGCTTAAAAAAATTATCCACGTCTTTTAAGCACGAAACAGAGTTTTTGGATTTGATGTCAGCGTCTGAGATGGCTGCTTTGATAAAGTTCGTCTGGCTCGCTGAGATTGGCATCCCTCTCCCTGGAAAAGAAAACAGAAAGGCCTACATAAACAGAGTGAAAATTGCCCTGGCTCAGTCAGAAAACAGCCTTCTGTGAGGTGACCTGGAAACTCTAAAGGGATATCTGCTCACATTTTAGACATATAAGTCCACACAGCATTGAGCAGACCTGGAGATAAAGCTTTAATTCATTTCAGTGCAGATTTGTATTTTCAGGCCCGTCTCCCTGTTTTCTGTGCTTCAAGCAAACCTCTCTGTCAGGTTTGTTCCTGTAGCTATTGTGTCTGCTTCACTAATGGACTACTCTCATCCTTCCCCCCCACTCTTTCTGCACCTCCTTTCTCTCCCATATCATATCCATGTATTCCCCTGGGGGCTGATTAAAAGGCTCTCTTGTCGGTGGGTGCAGGGAGAAGCGAGGAGAGGAGGGGTAGTGGAGAAGAGTGCTCCTTATTACCCCATATGTCTGAACAGGAGCGGGTGGAGTAGAGGACCTTTTCCAGTTAATCAATAGAGATCCCGTCCCTCTACAGTCTCTGTCTCCCCTCACAACCCACCGCCCACCACCCACCCTCTGACTCTCCCATTAGCCGTAATGTGTCTGATATTGATAGTAGAAGGTCTGGGATCTGTGACAGAAATAGTGCTCCGCGCTGCGAGGCGAGTTCCCCGTCAAAACTCTGCGCTCAACCAAGCGAAGCCCAGTCTTCGACATGCTGTTTAACCTGGCTGGCTGTGTGATACATCTTTATCGACTGCTGGCCTTTCGTTGGGACACTCGCCAATGAATCAGTGGAATTCCTCACCTTTTTAAATGGCTTTAGTTGATCAGTAATCAATTTCCAAAAAAAAAAGAGAAAAGAAAAGATTTATAGACTGTGAATATTGCTGCAGCAAGCATGAACGTATTTGTCCTCGTATAAAATCTGATGCATGAGCTTAGATCTGATCAGCCTTTTTCTTTTAATGGATTTTCTGAGAAAGTCAAGGGTTTTCAAGATGTTGACTGTTTTAATCAGAATCACAGTTCCGTTCAAATTCACTTTTTTCCCCGTGACTATAGAAAATATTGAGATTCTTTGAAAACAAATACAATTTTATAAACAATTTGTTGTTTTTAACATGCATGACAAATAAGAGTAATCTACAAAAGGTCAAACTGGGCCTATTAGTCCTAGTTTACTTTATTAGATTATCTACATCAGTGACTGTATAGTTTAATGTGATAGTGATCAAACTAAGTTTGTTGTGTAATTGGATGCAACTAATGATCAGATTTACGATTAATTTTCCCCATTAATTAACCAAACTATAAATTAGTTATTTTGTGTAAGCAATGGCACATACCACTGTGTTAGTTTTGTTCAGTCAGCTGCACACTCAAAAATAAATGGAGACATAAATTAAATGCTGTAAAAGGAAACACAACAAAGAAAAACATGGGTGAAAAGTTAAAAAAAATACTTTTAATGCATTTTCTGCTTTGATAACCTGACTGGTATACACTCAATAAGATTTAAAAGCATTCATGTCTTTGTTGCACCAACATTTTTTTTAATAATCTTGCAAATACAGTTTGATGAAAGACATATTTCCTCCTTCTTAGATGAGGTTGAGTTAAAGTAACAAAGTAAAAATACTTCATTACTTTACTTAAGTAGAAATTTGGGTTATCTACATTTTGCTTGAGTAATTATATTTCAGTCAACTTTTTACTTCATTTTTTCCCTCATCTTCCCTTGTGTGGTTTTTAATTTTTCTGTTGTTAAAGGTAGCTCAACTGAGTTTGCTGCATGACTGGTTTCACCTGTTCCCCCATGTTTGCCTTGTATGTCTTCTTGAATGGGTTTTTCTTAACTGCCCCCTCCCCCTTCCCTGAATGTACAGCACCTTGTGAATTTATTTCTGTGAAAGGCACTATATAAATAAAACTTTACTTTACTTAATTTACATTTTCTCATAATTATCAGTACTTTCTACTTCAATAAAAAACATTCTGACATCCTATTGGTTTGTAACTGATAAATCTCATCTGTGTGACATGAATCACGTCACTCTTCATCACATATGTATGAAGATACTGTATGCAGCTGAAACAGGTAGATGAGTATATCCCAATGTTTTGAACTTTAACATTTTAATATAACATTATGGTCATTGTGATCTCTAGAAAAATGTTTTTTGAAGAGGAAACCTCCCAGTAAATGTCATTTAGGAAACTTTAACTACTCACTTTTACTCAATACTTTTACTTACCTCAGTATCAGAAATTTACTTTTGTACAATAAATGTCAAATACTTTGAGACTTTTACTCAAGTAATATTCTTAGAGGACACTTTAACTTTTATCAAAGTAATTTTATGGTAAGATACCTGTATTTTTACTCAAATATCACTTTAAGGTATGTTATACAAGACTGAGCAACAAGAAGGTAAATATATTGTATAAAGAAGATATTTAGACATGGGCAGTTTGAGTAAACACATTCCTGGCACAGCCTGAGTTTGAACACACAGCCTCAGGATTATGAGACCACAGCACTGACCACTGAGCTACTGCAGCCCATAGCAGTAAGACATGAGATAATAAATGTGTGGATAAACATGACAACTGTTCATGCACATAACATTTAGAGAGAGAGGTAAATTAAATCAGGACTGAATGGAACATTGCCATTGTTTGCTAGATGTGTGTGTGTGTGTGTGTGTGTGTGTGTGTGTGTGTGTGTGTGTGTGTGTGTGTGTGTGTGTGTG